GCTTTTGCTCCAGTAAGGGGCAAAAACAGAGAAGACCATGAGGTCTCTGCCTTTTAACTGTTTTCTTTTCTTTTCCCTGAGGGCAGACTGTGGAACCTGTTTAACCAGTTAACCTGACACTTGCCAAAGACAGTTAAGCCTAAATTAGAGAATAGCACTTTCTGGTGCCTGCAGAGATTTTTCCCAAACTCCCTGAAGAAAGAAGTTCACTGTTGTTTAGAGCAAAGCGGGGGAGGAGGACACTCATCCTGAACTACTTGGGAAAGGGGAAGGAGAGCCTGAGGGTTGGGGGAAAAGAGAGTTTCCAGGCTCAACACATGAGGGATTACTGGTCACCACTGCTGTCCAGGTCAATCCTGCCCAAGGGCAGTACTGGAGCACTGGAAGCAAGGGGTGACCTCCTCTCTCAGGCCATGGAAACCATGAAGGAAGCATAAGAGATCTGATTGTTTGCTACAGACATGGCTGGAGGGGTCTGAGACTTAGCCACCTTTGGAGCCTCAGGGTGGGTCAGGAAGTTGTATCTCCAGCCTTTGAGTGATACCAGGGAGTACCCCAGCCAGAACACCTTTTATAGCATGAAGAGAAACTTTCCTTTCCACCAGCTGTTTTCAGACTTCCTCCTAAGTGGATCAGATCTTGAAAAAGAGTGTTTAAGAAGAGGGAAAAAATCCTTGGTGCACTGAAGTCTGGCTCCGCCCACATAGCATTGACAGTCCAATATAAGCCCCCAGCCAGCATCTGAGTTCTCTCAGGTTGCCTGCCTTACAGCTGTAGTGGGCTCAGAGCTTTTCCTCAGGTTCCCAAGGGAGAAATCCTCCTTAACAAAAAAGAGAGAGAGAGAGACAGAGAAAGAGAGAGAGAAGGTTGGCCTGAGTGTTCCACTGTAACTAGGCCACGGCGGGGGGGGGGGGGGGGCTCTCATGAAAGAACAGACTCCATCAGAGTGCCAGACAGTCATGGTCACATTCCTAGGCAGCCTTTCCCAGTTTGGCACAACCTATACCGACCTTAGGTGATGGTTTGTCCCTTCGTGGTTGCCAAATATGATGCACAGGTGACACGCACAGGAATTTCAGGTGCTCAGGGTTCTTGAGCCCGCTCTGAGAATGAAAGCACAGGTGGACGGACTCCACAACAGAGATCAGAAAGATTTTATTTGTAGAGACAAGAAGAGAAAGACTGCATGGTGGGGAATGCAGGGGAACCCGGAAACCAGTGGTCCCATGGGTCAGGGTGGGGATTGGGTTTTTATAGCCTTTTTGAGTATTGCCTGAGGGCAAAGATGTCTCTCAGGTGCAGACAGAAGTTTCCAGGGAAGGAGAGGTGTCTCCTTGATCACTTATCACCTTTTGGGACCTCCTGCAGTCCGTCCTTCACATACACACACACTCCCTGCAGACACAGTCAAGTCACATTAAGTGATGGCCTTCTTAATTTGTGATCCTCTGCCCTTTGCCAAATGAAAATCAGACAGTCACTTTTGAAAACTAATGTTCTGAATGCAAATAAAAAGTTACAAAAGATAGGAGTTATGGTCCCTGCCTCTAGAAATGTACAGTCTTAAGCCCAGCATGGTGGTACACCCCTGTAATCCCAGCTATTCAGGAGGTGGAGGCAGTAGGATTGTGGTTTGAGACCAGCCTAGATAAAAGTCACCAAGACCCTATCTCAAAAGCAAGTCAAGTGTGGTGGGACATGCCTATAATCCCAACTATAAAGGAAGCAGAATTAGAAGGATCCCAATTTGAGGTTGGCCTGGGCAAAAATGCAAGACTTTGTCTCAGAAAACACTAAAAGCAAAATAACTGGGGCTGGGGTTTACAAGGTGGAGCACTTGCCTAGCAAACATGAGGCCCCAAGTTCAAGACCCAGCACTGCAAATAAAATAAAATGTACAATCTAAAAGAAGAAATAGTACCTGTTCCCATGAAAAAGAAACAGAGATAAGTCAGAATAAGTGTAACTAATATAGGACACACCTCATTAGCTGTAGTAGTAAGGATAAGGTCTTTTCCCAATTATAAATACTATTCACTTAACATTAAAATACATCTCTGTTACCTATTCCTGCATAGCAAAGTACTCCAAAACTTAGTGGCTTAAAACCCACAAATATTTTATTCACTTGTTTGTAATTTTGCAACTTGGGCATGGTTGGATGCTCCACATAGAACAAACCACTTAGGGTGGCTCCAACAGATGGGAGAATCCACCTCCAAAATAGCCTTCTTCATATGGCTGGTACTTTGATGCTAACTGTTGACTGGGTATTCAAATGAGGTTGTTATTCCAGACCTCATTGATCTGTTTAAGTTGGACTTTTCACCAGATATCCAACAACCATTCACCCTCTAGGTCCATGAAAATAAAGGCTTAGCCCTGGGAGTTCTGGGTCAAGACAAGTGTCCAACATTTGCCCCAGTAGCATATTTATCTAAAAACTTGACCCCACAGTCCAGGGATGGGCCCCCTGTCTACGGGCCTTGTCAGCAGCCTATGTTCTAGTTCAGGAAGCAAAAAAACTTACTTTCAGGGGGTCAATCACAATCATCTCCCCCCGTCACCTGGCAGAACTCCTGACATATAAGGGCTTAAGAACCCTTCCCCCTTGCCGGATCCTGTCGCTTCTTGTCTCCTTCCTCCATGACTCCTCCATGACCCTCCGTGCTTGCTCTTTCTTAAATCCTGCCACCCTCCTGCCCACCTCTACTGCCATGCCTACCCACTACTGCGTCAGGACCCTGGAGGCCCTTCTCCCCTGCCCTTCACACATCCAGGAGGGGTCCCTGCAGGGCTCCACCTACACCTGGTTCACCGATGGCAGCTCATATGTAGGGGGGTGTACAGAGAGCGGGTTATGTTATAGTGTCCCTAACCCAAGTCATCGAGGCACAGCCCCTCCCTCCCAGTACCACCAATCAACAGGCTGAACTGTTTGCAGTCACAAGGGCTTTTGAACTGGCAGCCGACCATTCTCTCACTCTATACACTGACTCTAAATATGTCTTCCACATCCTGCTCTCCCACTCAGCTATCTGGAAAGAAAGGGGACTATTAACCACAAGAGGGACCTCTGTCACCAACTCCACCTTCAGTACCAACCTTCTCCGGGCCTCTCTCCTCCCCTCTAAGATTGGGATCGCCCACTGCCGGTCCCACCAAACGGATTCATCACCCATTACTAGGGGCAATTCTGAGGCAGATCAGGCTGCCCGACAGGCGGCAAGGGAGAATTACTCCACTCTGGCCCATGCAAAGCCTCAGGACCAGACTCCTGAACCGGCCCATGAGTCACTCCCTAGACATACCCTCCTTTCATATCTACACTCTATCTTCCACACTAGCACTCAGAATCTCAAGCTTTTCTTAAATTCATTCTTCCCCCTTACCCTGGAGGATTCCCAATATCTACACCATCTCACCTCCACATGTCCCACTTGTCAAAGGACCAACCCCCACACCCCTCTAAGGCCTGGCCCATTCCCTACTCACCAGGCCAGGGGACGCATCCCAGAGGCGGATTGGCAGATAGACTTTACTAACATGCCCAAGGTAAAGAAACACAAACACCTTTTGGTTTTGGTGGACACTTTCTCGGGGTGGGTAGAGGTCTTCCCAACCTTTAATAAGAGGGATTCAACTGTGGCATCTATTATTGTAACCCACATCATTCCTAGGTTTGGGATGCCTACTTCCTTCCAATCAGATAATGGCCCAGAGTTCACGTCCCAGGTGACCCAAACAGTTATCCAGGACCTTAATATCCCATGGCAGTTCCATATCCCTTACCACCCCTCCTCATCAGGGAAGGTAGAACGCTCCAACTGTACACTAAAGGAGATTCTCACCAAACTTACCTTAGAACTACACCTAGACTGGGTCCAACTCCTTCCAATAGCCCTCTTCCACCTACGAGTGCTCCCATGGAAACCCTTGCAAATATCCTCTTTTGAGTTAACGTTCGGTCACCCAGCTTTGCCTCCGGGGATCATCTCTGCCACAGGCTCCCTCCCAGGACACCTTGCCTTTCCCCTGCTCTCCTTCCTTCAAACCCAACTGTGGAGACACCATGATACCTTATCTCTGGATCCTTCACGCACTCATCTCTCTTTCCCTTTGAACCCAGGGGACTGGGTCTATTTCTCTCCTCCTTTCCCGGAAAAGAAACCCCTCACCCCAAAATGGAAAGGGCCCCTTAAAATCATCCTCTGCACTCCTACTGCAGCCCTATTAGAAGAGACTCCAGGAAAACTAACATCTTGGATTCATATTTCCAGGCTAAAGCCAGCCCGGACCCCTGGAGACAACCGGCAGAGAGATCCCAGCAACCCTTTGCCCTCACCCCCCACTTTCATTTGCACCCCTTCCCCTGGAAACCCCTTGAAACTTCACATCTCTCGGGTTCATGTTCCCTCCCTGGCCCCCAAGGATGTGCCTTGACTCTCTTTTTATTCTCTGTTCTCACCCCCTCTCTATGAGTGGGCAGGCTAATGCTGGAGGGTACTTTTGGAGGTTTAAGATATGGGAGACCTACACTGTCTCACAAACCTCTATCACCAGTCTGGTGGGCACCGGAGACTGCCCTCCTAAGGGGTGCCAGACCTCTATCTCAATCCCCTTCACACCCAGGCATGGTGGCCCCATTGGGTACCACTGCCCTTTCTTCACCCAAACTAAGGAGTACTGCAAGAAGAGGGCCAAATGGACCCAGGAATATGGGGGATGCCCCTATTGGTCCTGTCGGTCCTACTGGGTATTAGGATCAAAGGGCCCAAACAACGAATCTCACCTGTATAGGGGACAGAATGAGACCATCGTGGTTCACATCCCCGACCCATGGGATAACAGATGGGTCCAGGGTGAAATGATAGCCCTCTATGCTGGGGGCACTGCCTCCAAGCCCTCGGCTCATATTATGATATCTAAGGAAATAACCCTCCCAGTTCCTACTCAAAAGGAGGTGACTACTAAGGTTTTACCATCCGAACAGACCTTACAAAGGTCCTTTCACCAGCCCTCCACCCCCCAACCTGGCTCCAATTGTTCCAGGCCTCACTGCGACTCCTAAACCTGACAGTGGCCATTAATGTCACTGACTGCTTTCTGTGTGCCTCTCTCCAGCGCCCTTTACTGGCTGCAGCTCCCACTAACGTTCTTCTCCTGTCACAGCTTCCCCTAACTTGCGAAACTCCTCATGCACCCCTCCCTTGCCATCAGTGCCTCTGTGGGCACCTGACTCTACACAAGGTCCTCCTCCTACGCACACCTGTTATACCCCACTCTTGGCGTCTTGGCCCAACCTTTCTCTCTCCTGCCATACTAATCTCACCATTACGGAACAACTGGCATCCCCCTCGGGGCTATATTTCTGGTGCCACAATACCCTACACTCCTGCATAACTCAGGTTACTCCCGGGCCCTTCATACTGGTGATCATAGTTCCCCAACTCACTCTTTATGGGGAAGCTGAATTCTCCCTCCTATTTGGCACTCAGCCAAAGCACGCCGCATTCTTGCCCATCATGGTGGGTATAAGTTTGGCAACCTCCGTGGCTGCCGCAGGCCTTGCGGGGGGAGCTCTTGGCCATAGTGTTATTTCAGCAAGGGACTTCGAGGAGCGCTTACAGATCACCCTCGAATCCACCTCGGCCTCACTGGCCTCCCTTCAGTGTCAGCTCACCTTTCTAGCTCAGGTGGCCCTCCAAAACCGTAGGGCCCTAGACCTCTTGACGGCTGAAAAAGGGGGTGCCTGTTTCTTCCTCCAGGAGAAATGTTGCTACTATGTCAATGAATCTGGGATTGTTGAACAGAACGTAAAAAAATTAACAGACTTGGCCGAGGACCTCCTGAAGAGACCCACTAAAGACACCTTTACCGACCTGCTGAGCTCTCCTCTCGTCACCTGGCTCCTGCCTTTCTTGGGTCCTTTGCTGTGCTCATTACTCTCTGCACCCTCCTACCCTGCTTACTACGGTTTCTCAGATCTCAGGTGAGCAGAATCTCTAACCAAACTTTCAACCAGCTTCTCCTTCAGAGATATCACCCCCTTATAGCCCAGCTGGGACGCCTGCAATGGATCCTATCAGGACGACGGGTATGAGCCTCATCAATCCCTCACAGAGTGCCTACTTCAGTTCCTCCATTCCCTACGCCAAGACAGCTGGCTGATACCCGCCATTCACGACTCAGAGGATTGGCTGGAGGCCATTTACGACCTATGGCTACAAGGGACCTTCATCAACTTCAGGGAGGAGGAAATTTTCACCTTTGGAGCCTGGGTACGCCATTATGAGGCTCACTACCCCAACGCCATTTGCCAACTGACCCTCCCTTCCCCTATGCCACCCCTTGCCAGCTCGAAGAAGCCAGAGCAAACACAATGCCCCCCCCTTCCTTAACAAACAAAAAAGGGAGGAATGTTGGCAATAATGGCGCCAATAGGTTTCGGTTCTTACTGCACCCTTAAGCTTCGGTTTCCCAGGGTAACAGTCCTGCCTTAAGTCTAGCCTGAATCCTCCTTCTGCCCCAACCTCCAATCAACATGAACCATAAGATCCTAACCAACCAGATCATGACAAGTCTCAATGAAGGTATTTAAGCCCCTGCCTCCCTCTCTCTCTCTCTCTCTCTCTCTCTCTCTCTGCTCTCTGCTCTCTCCCTCTCCCACCCAGCAATAAAGAATCTCTTAGCCAGATCACTCCTCTCCACGTGGTCACTTTTGGGGCCTATATTTCCTTACATACAAAGATAACTTGCCAATACCAGGAATATATGTTGTATGGATATTAAGAAAACACTCAAAGAACTCTATGGCCATAAATCCAGCAACTAAAAAAATAGCCTTAAGACAGAACTAACAATAACTCACTAAAAAAGAAATAAATTTTCCCGAGATCTATTTAAAAAACTGAAAACTTTTCTAGAAAGAAAATTCCAGGCTCATATTGTTAATTGGAGATTTCTACCAAACATTTAAGGAAGAAATAATGTTGATTCTATGCTATCTCTTTCAGAAAACGAAAGAGGGGAAAACATTTCCTTATTTGTTTTATGCAGTGAGCATCACACTATTATCAAAGCAAAAAAATAAATAAAAACCATTGTAAGAAAATTGCAGATTGATATCCTTAGACCATGGATGCATAAGCCCTCAACAAAATATTACAAACCAAGTTTAGCAACATATAAAAATGCAACTCATTATAGTCAAAGTGAGGTTTACTCAAGGGATGTAAAGTGGGTTTAGTCTTCAAAATCTAACCCACTATATTAAAAAATTGTCAATTGATTATCACAATTAATAAAAGAGAAAAGAGACCGACAAAATTCAACATACATACATGCAAAAAAAAAATGGTAGTCCTTATCTCTAGTCCTACACCTTCTGAGCTGGGAGAATACACATGGTCACTAAGATAAATAGTCTGGGCAGCAGATGGGTACTAAAACAGGGAAGTGTCATTCCAGTCTATTCAAATCGCAGAGACAATAGCTGCGCTTTAGGACTTCCCTTTGCTAGACATGCCTGTCATTCTTTTCGCCCCTCCACCCACCCAAGAAGCCTTGCAGCTTGTTAACATAGGGAGGAGGAAGACAGACGCAAATAGCTTTAGGTCTCTCTGTTCTCCTACCTTAGCATCTAAACCGACATGGAAGGGAGTGCCCAGCTGCTCTGACTTTTTAGTTTTTACTTTCTAGTTGCAATGTCTGAGTTTAACCCTTTTAATATTCATTAAAATAAAATAATTTCCCTGTCTCCTCATCTATTCTGCTTTATGTAAGGTACTGCCAAATAAAGACCACGCCACATGTGGAAAGCAAAGGTTTATTGGTCCAGACCGCAGGGCCGTCACTCTTTTCAGGTTCAGAGTGAGGCGGCTTGGCTGAAAATGGATAATAGGCTTTATAGGAGGGGCCAAGCCATGGGGGAGGGAGAGTCTCGGTCTCTGATTATCTGCAATCACCAGATGGAACAGGTCGACATGCCTGGCTAGTTGAGTAACTGGAAGTTCCTGAGTTGTTTTGCAAGCTGAGAAACAATCAGGCAGGGAGAAACAAGTAGTCATAAATCAGGGGGTCTGGGGGTCTGGTTTCGGTGCTAGCCTTCCGTCTGCCCCAAGAATGCCAGGGAAGTAACATTTCACCCATCACCCACGGCTAACTGCTACCTAACACTTTCTTGTCCAGAAAGTACCTGTACCTAGAGACTTTGTAGGGTTCAAACATAATCAACTCCCACCTTTATGAGTGGTAAGTTTTTTCCCCCTCAGAGAACTTCACCTTACATATCCCTAGGAATGTTTTCAACTTCAAGAAATAGAATACCTAAGCAATGGAGACTTAGAGTCTAGACAATAAAGGCCTTTAATTATCTTACACAACAGAGTCTAGCAATAGATGGTTACAAGCCTGGTACACAGGTCAATGACATCAAGTACTTCTATCTTTCCATTCATCCATCTTCAGCATGTTAGCTACATGCTTCAGACCTGTGCCCTCACGGTCACAGTTCTCATATTTCTTAAGGAAGGAAAACAGGAAAGGTGGAGCTTTGTCTGTTTTATCTGTGAGGAAAATATTTCCTAGAAGCTGCCTTCCCTCCATTTCTGACACGCTCAAGACTACCCTCACATTTCACTGAACCTGATATTACACGTCTAGGAATTTTTTTTAAAATCGATTATCCCTGAGTGAGAAAAACCCACGCCAAGCACACAAAGATGTCTGAAGGCATCTGATGTCGGAGGACAACGGCGATTCTAGGAAAGGGGGATAAGTGCCCCAAGTTTCGGCTGTCACTACAGTGATTTTAATCTTCAACCTCCTTCCAATCTCCAGAAGACACTGTCGCGCGAGCTTGTTGAGAACCTTGCGGCTTCTCGCCCACTTCAAATATGGCCGCCGAGCCCGATTCTCCATGACCACCGGACCTGTGGCTAGGGGTCTGGCTTCGTGCCCATTTCCAAAAGGGCGTCCTCCCGCGGGGCTGCCGCTCCGAGTGCGCACGCGCGAAGGCGGGTTCTCTTCCGGGCAAAATGGCGATGGGCTTCATGTGTGGACGCCGGGAGCTTCTGCGCCTGCTTCGGCCCCAGCAGCGGGTAAGGTTGCTCGGGGGCAGAGCGCGGGGGATGCTGCCTTGTCCCTGTAACCTGAGCTGGGGGCATGAGCAGACGCTGACCTGTTCACCCGGACCTGCATGTCATGACCTCGAGTCGCGGGAGGACACCTGGGGGTTATGACCAGGCTCCCCAGGGTTGAGTCCCGCTTGGTTGTCCGTTTCCGCGAACTGCCTTTGCCTCTGTCAAGTGTCCTTCGGCCTCGGCCTCTGGGCCCCATGGGTGACCAAGATGCTGGACACGAGTTGCATGCCTGTGGCTGGCTGTGCCTCCAGTGGCAGCAGGCTGCCCGCTTCTTGGAGAGTCGGCATCGTGAATGCAGGGCCCCATGCTTTTCCATCGTCCTTCTTCCCGTCAGTTCCACAGAGTCGCAGGGTCCTCACAGTGGCCCCGGAAACCGCTGACCGCCGAGCTCCTGGTCCCAGCTGGTCCAGGCTGCGGGCGACACCCCTACGTCCTGCTCCCGGCTTCCAGCCCCCGCTGCTTCAGTACTTCTGCTATCTCCTTTGCAGAAGCCCAGGTAAGAGGCCTTCTGTTTCTGCATATTGGTTAGTTTCTTTTTGTTGTTTTGTTAGTAGGAAAATACGCAGTAGAGTGTTCTTTTCAACATGCCACACAGCTCCTCAAAATGTTAGCATCTCTGCTCGGAAGGGATTTTCAACTCAATGGGAAAATGATTCGAAGTTTGTCGTTGGTTGCCAGAGTGGTGGCAAGCCAATGATGGGGATGAGAGTTGGTTCCCACTTGTGTATTGGAAAATTTATGGAAACTGTTTCTTAGGAGGAGACCAAATAGGGGTTTTAGTCATAAAAACTCATGTGAGCCTGGTACCAGTGGCTCACTCCTGTAATCCTAGCTACTAAGAGGCAGAGATCAGGAGTATCTGAGTTCAAAGCCAGCTGGGGCAAAAAAAAAGGGCTGGTGAAGTGGCTCAAGGTGTAAGCCCTGAGTTCAGACCACAGTACTACAAAAAATAAATAAATAAAACTGAGTTGATAAAGAAAAATTGTGTTCTGTGGAATAGCTCAGTGGTAGTGCACTTGCCTAGCATGTACAAGGCCCAGATTTAATGCCCAGCACCAGAAATCTTGAAAAGTAAACAAAGAGAAATTGTTAAGCGTAACAGTTTCAATAATTGGCACCAAAAAAAGTAGCGATGTTTAAATAGCGGACATCTGAGGAATAGTAATATGAGAAGCAACTTCCCAGCAAAAGTGATGAAATCTTACTCTAATTAATTTCTCTTCCTGCTTAGTGGCAAAAGTAATATGTCCTTTTTAGGCATAAATTCTATGGGTCAACCTGGGAGAACAAAAAATAGTCAAGAAAATATAACTCAGGATTTGGAGGTGTGGCTCAAATGGTAGAGCGCCTGCTTTGCAAGTGTGAAGCCTGAGTTCAACCCCAGTCCCACAAAAAAAAAAAAAAAAAAAATTGAAAGGTAGGAAGGGAGAGAGTGGAAGGGAGGAAAGGAAAGAAAGAAATATAACCCAGTACTGGTTTTCATAAAGGGACCTCACTTTCTGGATGTCCCACTTACTGTATGGCTTTCTTTCACACAGGTCCAGGCCACTCCTGTTGTTCCTGCAACTCCCTCACCCACAGCAATACCTGAGGTGGCTTCTGGAGAAACTGCAGAAGCAGTCCAAACTGCTGTAGAACAGAGCTTCACTGAACTGGGGCTTGGGTCATATACCCCAGTAGGACTGATCCAGAACTTACTGGAATTTATGCATGTTAACTTGGGCCTACCTTGGTGGGGGGCCATTGCCACATGTAAGGAAAATATATCCTGGACAAGGGTGGAAGAAGTGCAGACTTAGAAATAAGGATAGACCTGGGCATGGTGGTACATGCTTGTAATCCCAGCTATTAGGGGGTAGAGACCAGTAGGATCACAAGCTCAAGACAGGGAGACCCTACCTCAAAACAAAAGAGCTAGGGGTAGAGCACTCAAATGGTGAAACACTTGCCTAGCATGCTCAAGGCCCTGGGTTCAATGCCCAGTACATCAAAAAAAAAGTTTTTGAAAAGGGGATAGAGCCACAAAGATGGCAGTTCTGTGAATGTATGGAGGAAATAGGTGCAGAAAAGTAAAGATCAGAGAAATAGATGATTTAAATGAGGGATAGAGACTCATGACATTTACATGCATTCTACTTACATTTCCTAACGAGCTTTTAAAAAGTATGAGTATTTGAATGTGAGCAGAGTTGAAGTAAATGGGCCTCACTAACAGTGACGAAGCTGCCTTGGTTATCTAGGCCAGGCACTTAAATTAGAAATACACACTACTCTTACAAGGGCTAAAACTATACTTTGATTTCTTCCTACACCTTGCTCCGTTAATTATCTCTTCTGAGACTTCAGTGTCTTGTGGTTTTTTTTGTTGGTGGGGGGGGCACACTGGGGTTTGAACTAAGGGCCTCATGCTTGCTAGGCAGGCGCTCTACCACTTAGCCACTATGCCACCACTGTTTTAGTGCTGAGTATTTTCTAGGTAGGATCTCATGAACTATTTACCCAGGCTGGTTTTGAATCACAAACACTATTTAGTCCAAAGTGGCCTCAAACATGCAGTTCTCCTGCCTCACCCTCATGGGTGCTAGGATTACAGCATGTGCCACCATATGTCTTCTCCTTATCACTCTACCCCAAACATACCAACATATGAAGCATACCTATATGTTACTCAAGGAAAAATTCCTTCCCTTTATAATTGGTTCCCTTTCTTCTTCCTTTCATAGCTTTTATTTAAAAGAGGGTTCTGCATCCAGTGGGCCTAATTCTTTCCGTTTGTACTTTGACATTCAGCAATCTGGTTTTTACTAAAATCACCTCACTCTAAACTGCCACTAACACCCTTGCTAACCCACTTTTCCTATTATACTTGACCTTTCTGCATTAGATACTTTAGAACTTGAACCCTACCCCTTGACTTTTGTAAAAACCTTCCCTGATTTTGTCTGACTGCAGCTGTCCTCTCCATTACATTGTATTCTACCTGTGCCTTCAGTGCTAGTATTCTGGGTTCCATCCTTAGCTTCCTGGTTTATTTTTATCCTACACCCACTATATGTCTACAGGTACTATAAATTAAATACTTGTTGGGATGACCAGTAAGTACGAAGGGTAAGGAACAGGAAAGAACTAAAACAGTAAGCTACCAGATTACTTTCTACTCCAGGGATTTTCCATTGACTTTCAAACTTCATTCTAGGAGCTCCCAACTTTACAGAAAGTTGCCTCTGAGCAAGGTGAAGGGTCTAGCATAAAGTCTTAAAGCCAGACTTTTCCTTCACCAGGACAGCTTGATTTATTTTGTATATTGTGTCTACATTTAGAGTTGAAAAAAAAATTAAGAAAAAACAGGATCTTGGTCATCTGCTTAGAGAAATTAATGGTAAGCTTTTGTGATACCAAAGCAGAGAACTGAGCCTTGAACTGCCAGATTGTGGAACAGGCTGGAATAAGACTTATTTCAGTGAAGACCTAAAACCTTCAACCTTGGATCTGCAGAACTTTTAAATTTCTCTCCAATCCTACTTTGTGTTTTCCAGGTACAGTCCTTGCCCGCTGCCTGGTTTTTCCTCTCATTGTGAAGGGCCAGCGAGAGGCAGCCAAGATCCACAACCACTTGCCAGAGATCCAAAAGTTTTCCACTCGAATCAGAGAAGCCAAATTGGCAGGAGACCACACTGAGTGTGAGTCAGTTTGCAGAGTGAGCATGGGAGAGGAATAAACTAAGCCAGGAGTTGCTACAGTTGGGCAAGTTCTGTTTCTTGAGACTAATGCTTCCAGGGATTGGCCAAGATCTGTTAAAATTTCGTGAGCCTAGTGATAAGGATGTTCACTATCTATTAGCCTAATGATTAATTTCCCTTTACATCACAGTTTACAAGGCCTCCTCAGAGATGACACTTTATCAGAAAAAGCATGATGTTAAACTCTTTAGACCTCTCATTCTACCTCTGACTCAGGTAAGCAAAAACATTTCCCTTACTATTTTATCCCATCAAATGGCCTGTTCCCGTGCCCCAGACCTCCAAAAGTGATGTACATGGCTTTCAGTAGTGAGGTAACGAGAATGTCCCCTCTGTTAAAGAGTGCTGACACTGTTTATCCTGGGTAACAGGCCCCAATCTTCATCTCCTTCTTCATTGCTTTGCGAGAGATGGCAAACCTTCCTGTGCCCAGCCTGCAGACAGGAGGCCTCTGGTGGTTTCAGGATCTCACAGTATCTGATCCCATCTACATATTACCACTAGTAGTCACTGCTACAATGTGGGGAGTTCTTGAGGTAAGCCCAGGTTGGCCAAGTACCAGGCCTGCACAGTAAATTGGGAGTAGTGGGTACAGTGGTTGTGCAGAATGGTCATCCTTCACTCCTTGGAATGATAGAGTTGGTGGTTATTAACATGCACTCACTCCTCTTTTCCTCTGCCCCTCTCCCCTTTTTGGCAGCTAGGTGCTGAGACAGGTATGCAAAGTTCTGACCTTCAGTGGATGAGAAATGTTATCAGAGTGATGCCCCTGGCAGTCTTGCCCATAACCATCCACTTCCCCACGGTAGGTAATAGCTTAGGGGCTGCCTCCTGCAAGTTGAGCAAGGATACAGCTTCTGAGTGTCTTTCTATCTCCCTCCCCACCCCAGGCAGTATTCATGTACTGGCTCTCCTCCAATGTGTTTTCCCTGGGCCAAGTAGCCTGCCTCCGGATTCCAGCTGTCCGTACTGTACTTAAAATCCCCCAGCGTGTTGTGCATGACCCTGACAAATTACCTCCACGGGACGGCTTCATAAAGAGCTTTAAAAAAGGTACAGGCAGGACCAGGAGATGGGGGTCTAAAAATGTGAACGGGACTCATGGTCTTACTCCTTTTTACACAGGCTGGAAGAATGCTGAAATTGCACATCAGCTCCGGGAACGTGAACAACGCATGCAAAAGCACTTGGATCTAGCAGCCAGGGGTAAATATCTTTTCAGGCTAAATTCTATCTTTTTGTTTCATCTTCTCCTTTGTTCATTGAGATTTCTCTTCCCCCCAGGTCCCTTACGGCAGACCTTTACCCATAACCCTCTGCTACAGCATGGAAAGTGTAACCCTTCCAACACCTCCAACAGCAGCAGCAGCAGCAGTAGCAACAAACCAAAGACAACGCCACCCTGGCGTGACACGCTTGGCTGACTTATGTCCCCTGCTCACTCTGGCAGAAACTCTCTTCAAAGACTCATCCTCAATACAGACTTGATGCTGCGTCCTTACCCCAGATGTAAAAAAGGGTGGGACAAGGAGATGTTAATTTAAAAAATGGAGTCCACTATAGACTTACTCTTGAGTGCAAAAGAGCGCACTGGTGAGCCAAGTGATCTTCCCGTCCACAGAGTCAGTAAAGCTGTCCTACATGCTGCTTCCTGGTGCTTATTAAATAGGGAAAGGGGATGTGTGCTTCAGAAAAAATGAATACATTGGGTCATGGTTCCTCTTGCTGGCCCATGCTCTGATAGTGTTTTGTTATTGGTTTTTTTTGTTTGGTGGTTCTGTAGTTTGAACTCAGGGCCTCACACTTGCTAGGCAGGCACTCTACCATTTGAGCCAGTCTGCCAGTCCCTTTTTGTGTTGGGTATTTCCAGTGTAGGGTCTCACAAACTATTTGCTTGGGCTGGCCTCAAATCATGATCTTTCTGATCTCTGCCTCTCGAGTAAGTAAGGTTACACGCGTGGTAAGCCACCACCACCTGGCTGGAAAGTGTCTTACGTTTAAACCATTTTCATTGTAATCATAGAGCTCTGAATGGTATGTAGCAATCACTTTTTTTGCTTGTGGTGCTGGGGATCAAACCCAAGACCTTTCATATGCTAGGCATGTACTCTGCCATGAAGCTACATCCCCAGCCCAGTAATCAACATTTCTTGACCCAAGATTATCTGCACAATTTCCTTCAAAAAGCAGGTGTGCTCAAATTCTTAGTAATAGAAGATAATGAAGAATGAACATTTTAGTACAGTAGCATAGGTGTTCTCCTGTCTATGTAGAGCTTGGTTTTACCAGCTTTTCAGCAACTGACTTGAGAGGAAAACAATGCTTTTAGTCTTCGTTTTTAGGCTAGTGAGAGCTGTCCAGTAAGCCACTCAAACCTTAGAAACATTATAGCCCTTTTATTGTTGTCTAACACCTGTGACAGTTTCATGTCTCTAAAGGAGACAGGTTTGGAGCATTGTTAGCCCTTGTAAAGGAAACGAGTGGGGCAGGCACATCCAGAGGTGCTGCTGGAACAACCAATCCCAAATGTGACATGCTCCCCACCAAGTCTGCTTTATCGTCCCTTTTACAAAGGCTGAAACAATACATAGCAAAACAAATAAATTAACTTCTCATCTCTAAAAAGTAAGTTCAAAGGTTGAAGCTGCCTACACAGGCTTCTGGACAAGTGCCTCCAAAGAAGTACACTCTCCTTTTCAACTTCCTTGACTCCAGCCAAGGAGACAAGTCCCCACTTTCCACATTTCAGGATTCTATGTGATGTTTAGTTAGACTTGGGATCTTGCTGTTTGGGTATCTCTCCATCTTCCAAATCCATTTCTGCAGCAACTGACATACATAGGATCTGGAGGTACTGTGTGGTGGATGCTGTAAAAGAGAAGTTTCAGTTGCAACCAGGAAGAAGTCAGCTGGGCTGAGTTTAAGTGGCACTGAAAGCTGTGATGCAGTTAAGTGACAGGGTTAATAACAGGAAGGGGCCATGGCAAAGGTGACTTGGGAGCCTAGATATGCAGAAAAAGCAAACACCAGGCTCTTAGGTTTAGCTAAACTGATTTGAGGACCCAAGACTTACCCACAATTCTTCGAAGGCAAAGAGGTCTTCTGTGTTCTGGCACTCTGATGATGAGGAAGTAAAAGGGCAAGCCTGAGAGGGCAATGCCAATGCCGATGAGGGAGTTGATGGTATCACTGTACAGTGGAACAGCCACCAGGAAGAGGGTACAGAGGCAGAAGACAATGGGGAAGAAAAGGCTGAGCTAAAGGCACAGAGAAAACACAACTGGGAGTCAGCTCAGGATTCTTAACAGCCAAAATAACCCCACTTCCCATAAAGAGCAGACTGCCTAAGAGCTGAAGGTGTAGCTCACTGGTACAGCACTTGCCCAGCATCAGCACTGAGCTTCATCACAAATACCACGAAGTCCCAGGCAAAGATTTTTCTTGTTTCTGTAGTGTTGGGGATGGAACCCAGGGCTTTGTTCATGCTAAGCAAGGATTCTACCACTAAGCTACATCCCCCGTACCTGTTCTTTTTGAGACAGGGTCTTGCCATGCAGCACAGGCTTCCCTCAGACTCACTGGGATTACAGGTATGTACCACCATAGCCAGCCCAGGCAAAGGTTTCTGAATAAACTCTTACATGATCCTCTCTAGCAGCAGCTCTAGCTGTTCGGGTGGAGCAGAGGTTAGATGGAGGTAAAGTTACCTTAAGGGGACGAGGTCGATCGGGCTCCTTCCAGCGCAGATAAAGCTGACCCACGATAGAAAGGCCCACAAAGAACCAGTAGCTGAAGCTGTAGTAGTTAATAAGCTGGAAGATGTCCTCCACACACAAGTAGATCAGTGCCATCATACCCTGTGAGCACAAGCCCAGGCCAGCGCCTCTCAGTGCCCTTGTTACTTTTCACAAATCCATCCCATCAGTGTCCTTGCCTGCCCTCTTCTGTTCCCACCCCTCTAGCACCCTGTTTCAGTCCTTCATTCCCTCTATTAGAGTTCATAGCCTCTCAACTGGATTTTCATCCATTCTTCAGAGTCAGTCCTCTAACAATTCAAAACTGTCCCTCAAAAGTCTTGCATAGAGAGCTAAACCAAACAACTTTCTATGAAGATTTTTTCAGATAAAGACAATAAACTTACTGAGCAAGCAGCTAAAAAAAAAAAAATCTTGCATAATACCCTCTGGCTCTGGAGGTGTGGCTCAAGCAGCAAAGCACATGCTTTTGTAAGCGCAAAAGCCCGGAGTTCAAACCGGGCTTTTGCCCGGTTAAAAATGTCTTAAATCACCCTTTGCCCCCCCATAGAAGTAATCATTTTTTCTTTTTAAAGACATCAGTCAGTGTCACAGCAATTAATCATCACAATGTATTCCGTGTACTTCATACCCACTCCTTGGAAATTTAAGTTCTCTCTTAGGAACACCGTAGCACATGGCACAGTGACTTGCCCATGGTAGGTGTCCCATCACTCCAGCAATAGTTTTGTTTTGTTTTGTTTCCCTGTCCGAATCCCCTTTATGGTTTTCAGGAAGCTAGAACATCCACACCTACTTAGCGTTTCTCCCACAATCTGGCTTTCAGATTGTGACATCACTCACATTGAAGAGCAGAGAAGGCACTGGCGTGAAACGTTCCACGTGAATCATGCAGATGGCATCAGGGAGATGGCCTTCTCTTGAGCCCACAAAGAAAAGCCTGTTTAGGTAAGATATGAGAGGCTGAGAAAATTGTGGGGCATGGGAGCAGCCTGGTTCCCCTGCCACACTGCCCTCCCTCTGGAGGTACAGTATTGAGATTAGTGGAAACTAGAGGCTCTGATGGGAACAAGTAGGAGGAAATTGGGGAACACAGGTGATTAAAGTCTGGGTCCTGTAAATTCCACTTTGCCATCTCTCTTCATAATATCCACCCTGCTAGCAAAAGATGCCACACCTACCTAGAAGCAGCCACAATGGAGGCATTGAGGCCACCAAAGCAAGACAGTGCAACTGCCAGTGGAATTGTCCAGTTGAATATTCCAAAAATCTGGTCTGCAAAAGTCTAAGAAAAAGGAAGAAGTAATTAGCAGAACCTAAAGGGGATTGAGGGTATGAATAAGTATACCCCCAGATTCCCCCTACCAACAATCCAGCTCTTCTTTCATAATGGGGTAACAGCACCTTCTGGCAAGTCCTGTATTCTAAATGTGCTCCTCTCAAGGCTGTCTGCTCCCTTTCCAGAACTGGAAAGAGTCAGGACCTACCCAGAAGCCCATGACACCACTCAGCCTCCTCTAGTGAAAATGCTTTACCACAGCTACAGCATCACTGGCCAAGATGTCCTTCATATCTAGCACGCTGTAATAGGCCACATTGGTCAAGATGTAGATGATGGTGACAATGGGCATGGAAATACCAATGGAGAGGGGCAGATTCCTAAGCCAAACAGAAAAAGGGACACATTAGTTTCACAGGTGCATCCCTACCTCTCTCTGATCCTTACATACACTCTCCCTGCCACACCATGCTTTCTAAGGATGGAGACCCCTGCTACATCTCCCCAGTTCCTTTGCCTTTGACATTGCATAGGATATTGTCTGAAGCTCTGAGCTTTTAAGAACCAACAAGCATAAAGAGAAAGGAACATCCCATGAATAGAAAGAGCTGTGAAAAGAAAAAAAGAGGGTTGACTAAAAACTATGATGTTAAAGTATGATAACAGATGGGAGTGGTTTTGGTTTTACAACAAAGGTCCCTCTCAGCGTTAGGATTCCTCTCCAAGAGAAACACATTGGAAATTTTGTCTTATGGCTGAGAAATATAAGAAAAATTATGGGGGCAAATTGTGAAATCTTAACATCTTCAGAGAATAAGACAAGCCTTCAGTAGGAAGAGCACTGTGTGTGTGTGAATAAGCAACCTGGGAGATAAGTCCACCTACCCCTTCCATCAGTTTAAGAACATCAAGTGTCATCCTAACTAGTGGCCAAGAGGAAGCCACAAAGACTTCCCAAGGTCCCCCCCACCCCAAAAAAGCCATGATCTTTATAAACATCCTGGACATTCATCAAGCCTGGCAAAATAATCAGAGGGACAGATCCTCCTGAGTCATTCCACTCCTGTCCAGTAGGTGGAAGTACCATCCAGACCTCAATCTGCTGCTTACATCCCCACTCCCATGGTTCTAACACTAGCTGTGTACCCAGAGTGCTTTGCTTCTCAGAGCCAAAAGGAGTTTATTGGTACGAGATTCTTATTCCTTTGTTGAAAATTTGCAGAAAGTCTCCTTCCTAGCAAATGATATAATTCCCAGAATCATAATATTTTAGAGCCAGGAAAGACTTAAGATCGTATAATTCAACACCATATATTTCAGATAAAGTAGTGGGCAATGAAAACAGGGCACCTCTCTCAAGGTCATCCAAGAAATCAGGCCCCATGACTCCCAGCCCATGACTTTACAAGACTATAAGGCAATTTAAAGTAACACTGGTGAGATGATAATTATCAAAAGACTAAAAGGATACCACACTGTCAATATGAATTAAGAGAAACAAGGAACCAGAAGGGACATGCAGGAAAGTTCCTAGAAGTCTATGACCTAAACTAAACTATGGAAATTGTTTTAAGAAAGGGGGGAGTAAGACAGAATGATGGAGGTGGCAAATCTAATTAAGACACATTGTAGCCACACGCTGGTGGCTCATGCCTATAGTCCTGGCTACTCAGGAGGCAGAGATCAGGAGGATCATGGTTCGAAGCCAGCCCAGGCAAAGTTTGCAAGACCTTTTCTCAAAAAAACTCATCACAAAAATGGACTGGTGGAGTGGCTCAAGGTGTAGGCCTTGAGCTCAAACCCCAGTACTGCAAAAAAAAATTGTAAGCACATATGTAAATGCCAAAATGAAACCCCCTTGTATAACTAATATAAGCTAATAAAAATTTAACTATAAAGGGATAGGATAGATATTGTTTTGCTTTGAGAGAGGGTCTCACTATGTTGTCCAGGCTAGTTACAAATTCCTTGAGTTCAGCAATCCTCCTGCCTCAGCCTCCTGAGCAGCATAGCCATCACACCTTACAAGGAAAATCTATTTTAAAAGAATACACAAGCACATAGTACAGCCTGCTTCAGTTAATGCAGAAGTGAATGAATAAATGAAAAAAGCCTTTTAAAAGAACTTACAAAGCCTATCCAATAAAGTTTATATTTTAACTCAGGAGACTGTGAACAGTTAAATCTCTGGGCCTTAGGCTTGCTATCTATTAAAACAGGGCTAATGGGGAAGGGGAGGGGGAGCAAACAATGTGTACACATGTGAGTAAATGTGAAAATGATAAAATTTAAAAAAAAACAAGGCTAATGAAATTAATCTCATAGGCAGCACAGCATGCTGTCTGGCACATAACAGGAGCTCAAAAAATGATTTATTCCATAGCAGTGAATCACTGTTATGAGAAGTTGGCCGTGAGGTACCTACCTCTCAGGATTCTTGATCTCTTCAGTGACATAGTTGAGGGTGTCCCAGCCAGAGTAGGAGAACAGAGCTGAGTACAGTGACAGGGCAATGTCACCCATTGCAAATGATGAACCCTCAAAGGAATTCTCAAAGTTAGTTGTGACTCCTAGAACCCAAGAACAGTGGATTCTGTTAGTGGCCCACTCCCCCAACTTTGAGATGATCCAATAAAGAAGTGGAAGAGGACCAGAAGTGTGGCTCAAGCAGTAGAGCACTTGCTCTGCAAGCACAAAGCACTGAGTCCAAACCCCAGTCCCACCAAAAAAAAAAAGAAGTGGAAGAATGTGGTCATAAAGCAGGTGATGGGTCATCTACAGAGATGGGAATGGCGTGGATGGGATCTTGACAGGAAGAACTTATGGCTTTCCAAGATAAGAAACCACCTCAGAGCAGGACTAGAGAACAGGAGTGGTGTTCTGTCCCACTCTGTAAGCTGCCTGATTCCTGCCCCCATCTGACGCTAGACAGGGCTGACTTGGGGTAGCAGAAGGGCAGGGCTCAGCATGCCCAGGCCAGTGGAGTAGCTGTGGGACAGGCCTCACATCTGGAGACTAGAGAGGAGTGAGTACATGGAGTTCATCGCTGGCCTTACCCACGTCCTAGGGCAGGCAGGTCAGAGCAATAATACTACAGTCAGCAATCTGTAAAAGTCAACTCCTAGAACATGGCTGTCAGCCTCCTCTGGGAGGCAACATGTCAAAGGACAGGCCTGGTGGTCAGTGTGCCTGGGTACAAGTTTCAGCTTCCCTACACTAGGAACTTGAGTAAAATACTTAATCCTGCAGCCTGTTTCCTCACCTGTAAAAAGGGAATAATAACAGTACCTATCAAATAAGATTACTGGGAGACCTACATGGGATAATGCACGAAGCATACTTAGGAGCGTAGCCCACAGAAGGCGCTCAACACGTTCGTCGTCGCTATTACTTCTTACCCTGGCCAAGCCTAACAATGCCTGCAATGATGACCGCGATCAACGCCAATACTTTGGCATAGGTGAAGATATCTTGTACCATGGTTCCCCACTTCACATAGGCACAGTTAATGAAAGTTAAGAGACCTGAAAGAAAAATAATACTGATTCGTGACTGACCCTTCCCACCCAGAAGGCCTTTGACTCCCAAGCAATTTTTCCAGTACCATCCATCAAGATGGTCCCTTCAAAGTCTATATGGTTTCTGCCCTGATCTGCCTAGAAAAGCCCTACCCCAGAATATCTTCACCATTCTCATTCAAAGGGTATTTTCTGTGCACAACATCACCACATTCTGCCACTCCAGCACATTATGTAGGAGACACAAAACAAAGTGATGTAATTTGCTTACAAAAAAAAGTGCACCCACAATGGGTGCAGAGGCTCAACCCTGTTAACCCTAGATACTTGGGAGGCAAAGATCAAGGTTCAAGGCCAGCCCGGGCAAATAGTTTGCAAGACCCGATCTCAACCAATGGCTGGCTGGATGCTTGCCTATCATCCCAGCTACACAGGGAAACACAAATAGGGCAAGACCCTATCTCAAAAATAACCAATGCATGGGCTGGAGGCATGGTTAAAGTGGTAGAGCACCTGCCTAGCAAGCACAAACTCCTGAGTTCAATGTCCAGTACTGAAAAAAATGCACCCAAATTCCCAATTACAGCAGCGGGAGGAACTGGTCACTGTAGGGGATTAGTAATGTGTTCTGGCTTGTGGCTCTTTAAAATCATCTCTTTTCCTCCACACAGGCTCTAGGACCCAGAACGCTGACTCCACAGTAGTACTGTTAGCCTTGAGGAGTCCTGTTGTGATTTACCCAATGTCTGGGCTACAGGTCAGGACATGTGGCCAAGGACTGGGATGGAGGCCAGACTTCCTCCCTACTGCCTGCCAGCTCAGCTGCTTGGTTTGTGCTTGGAAGGTTTCTTGCTGCTAAGAGCAATTCCTAAAGAATAAGAGCGGGGCATTTTTCCTGACTGGACAATGCAGAAGTAACGTGAACACCCTCACATCCTTCTACCTCCCTCCACCTGGAAGAGCTCCATTGAGGCACATAGCTCGTCCTTCGAGCCAGAGTTCTTGACAAGGCCTCAAGTTCCCTTGCAAAGTGTTATGTCTATATGTTTATACGCATTTTTCTAACTAAAGAGTTCATATCTTTCATCAAAATCTCAGTAAGGGGCACACCTGTAATCCCAGCTACTCAGGAGGCACAGACCTGGAGGATCACAGTTCGGAGGCTACTAAGACAAAAAGTTAGCAAGACTCCATCTCAACAAATAAGCTGGGCATGATGGGTACACATCTGCCATCCCAGCTATGCAAGAGGCATAGCAAGAGAATCACAGTAAGAGGTCAACCCTGGGCAAAAACATGAGACCCTATCTGAAAAATAATTAAAGAAAAAAAAAAAGCTGGGGGTGTGGCTCAAGTGATAAAAGTGCCTGCCTAGTAAATATCAGGCCGAGTTTAAACCCCACTACCACAAAAAAAAAAAAAAAGTTTCAGAGACGGGGCTACAATGTAGCTCTGGGAAGATCACATGCTTACCATGCATGAGGCCCTGGGTTCAAGCCCTAGTGCCAAAATTTAATAATCATGCTATGAGCCCCAGGATTTGGCAGGGGGAAAACAAGTCGAAAGAAACAATTCTGAAGTTCATCAGAATGTTCCCTGGACCCCTTGCAAGCCTTCTAGGCATCGAGACAGTCACATACACATCTGCCTCCTGGTGGCACAGTGAATCACTTCATGGCTCCCTCCTTCCCAGCTCAGCAACTAGAACACTAATGAGCACTTAACTGGTTCAGGCACAGTGTTTCATGACTAGAATCTCAGCTACTCACAGGTGGAGATAGGGAGGACTGCAGCCCAAGGGTAGCCCAGGAAAAAGTTAACAAGACCCCCATCAAACAACAAGCCAGGTGTGGTAGTGCGCTCCTGTAGTCCCAGCCACACTGAAGGCATAGGTAGGATGGGGGCTGAGACAAGAACACAAGAGCCTATCTGAAAAATAACTAAAAGCAAAAGGGAGAGGGCATGGCTTAAGTGGTAGAGCACTTGCCTAGCAATCGGGAGGCTTTGAGGTCAAATCCATACCACCACCAACAACAAAGTGTTTAACCGGAAAGCCCTTCTTTCAAGGGCTCCAAGGGCAAGGTTAGCATCACCCTGCCAGCTTCAGATCACCAACAGTCAAAAGCTACTCCGTCTCTGAGCTCTCCTGAGAGTATATGGCCATCTGTGTCCCCAGTCCTTGTGTCCTTGCTTCCTGGTCTCATACATTCTGCCCCAGAGGTCAAAAGCAAGAAATACCGGGCTCTAGGAACAGCTGTCGCATCTTCTCCTACCCTTCCTCTGCCCCACCCACTGCTTTTCTGCTCTTCCAGAGAACTGTCCTATTTAAACACTTGCCTTTCTGCCTAATGAACATGACAATAAACAGCCAAACCTTATCACAAGGCTGGGCAAAAATGCAGCCATTGCTCCAGGCCGCCCAGAGCTGAGTTAATAATTAAAGACACCAGTACACTGTCTCCACCACAGGGATCCCACAACAGGACCAAAGTGCCTGGATCTTGCCCTCAACCAAACTGTCAGATCTGTTGATCTTCCCCAGCAGGTCATCCACCCCTTACTGCCTGGACCTCCACCAACCATGATGCACCAGCCCTCACACCCCTTCTCCCCATCCTGCAACCTCCACTCCTCACCTGACTTATGATAACACAAGCCAAGTTTGCCACAGCAAACGCCACGACCGACTGAGGCTGACATGTGCACCAGTGCACTGCTCCAATATAGAATCTGCATGGCCTGCGGGGTAACAGTTCTAGTGCACAGTCCAAGTCTGAGCTGTGTGCCACAAGCCTCTCTTCTCAGCTCTGTCCAACGATGTGGGAAAGAAAAGTAGTGACAACCAACCAAGTCACCACCCTTACGACTGCAATTCCCGAATAAGAATGCATGGACTGTTTGTATTTTAATCCCTACTGCTTCTCTACTTCCATATCCATCCAACTGCATCCCTTCTCTTACCTCCAGTTCCTCCCACACACACACACTCCACACTTTACTTCCCAGCCACAAACCCACCATCTTGCCCTGTGCTCTCAGGTGCAGTTTGCACCCTACAAAACTGCACCCTACAGAAAGAAACCAGGGAGCAGAGGAACTGCTTGAAGAGAGCTAGCCCTGACCTTCCCCAGAGCCCTGCTTCCTCCAGGGCCTCCTGGTCCTGGAAGCAGGAAATGGGTACAGCAAGCAGCAGTGCTGACTAGGCTTTGTCCCCACCCGCACTGGATACAGCTGACCAGAGTCCCCAGAGCTCAGCCAAGTGCTTCACTCTTAAAGTGTAGCCCAACTCCTGCTTCAGTCAGGGACAGGAGGGGATTGTGGGGTTAGCAGAATGTGGAGACCACTGCAAGTTAACCTCAAAAACAGACATGCCCCACCATTCTACCTGTAGGGGCAATTCAATCCCCACCCAACGCTGGGCCTAAAATGAACTCTAACCTTTGACCCACGTTTAGCTCCATTCTTGCTTTAACCCCAAGGGGGAAGAAGCTGCAAAGACGAAGATGTGACTCCTATCACGTCCTGTAAAGAGATACTCCTGAATGGATCCTCAAACCCAGCCTACACAGGGTACCCTGGAGTAGGAGGCCCAGAAATTACCAGACCAGGATGATCCAGAAGGGTCCAATGCTTGCAGGCCCAGTCTGGATCGTGGCCCAGGTTTAGTTTAGAGACTCAAACCAAACAGTCCCTGAAAAAAACATTAAAGCCACAATCCTCCCGGCACCATTCACATTAAATACACAACAATGAAACACACAAAATTTAGACTGATGTTCAATCCGTTTTTTGCTTCAGATTCACAGGGACTATAAAACCACAGTACTTTATTAAACAACTCATTCCATCTTTTTAAGGAGATCTATAGCTCTTCCTTCCACTGAGCCCAAACTTCTACCCAGTAGTCCTGGACTCCTCTTGGAGCTGCACAAAATCAAGTAAACCCTCTTCCACACAACAGCTCTTATGATCATTAAAAGTTAATATTCTGTCTGCCTTGAATCTTGCCTCCTTTAAGATGAAAACTATTTCTACAATTCTTCTGTAGCAAATATAGCTTCCAGACCACTCACCATCCCAGAATTCGCCACTGCATTTTCTTCACCCTGTCAGGGTCTCCCTGGAAATGTGAGACCCCACACAAAAAAACTCCAGACATTGTCTAGACTGTGTAGTCTCGATCCAAGCTCATTAACTACAACTCTCTTCCTACCTCAAACTTATGGATACCTGCAAATTTTTTTTTTTTTAAGAGAGGGTCTCACTCTGTAGTCCAGCCTAGTCTTAAACTCTCAATTCTCCTGCCTTAGCCTGCAGAGTGTGAGGATTACAGGCATGCACCGCCATACCCAGCTCCTAATACCAATTTCTTGATGTGGATGCTGGTGACACACGTGTGCTTACTTTGAGAAAATTCACTCAGCCATACACATGTGACTTGCGCATCAGTTCTTATTACACTTGAAAAAAATGAAAAATGGAACCGCAGAATGAGGTTAGCTTAGCACGGCCCGTTCTCAGTGTACTCACGCAGGCTGCCGGTGATCTCCCTTCCTTCTGCTCATGCTTTACTAATCAGGCTTAGCCAACAACCTGGTAAGGTAAGAATCAGTCCCAACTTTTCAGTCTAGAGTGTTCAGACTAGCAGAGGGGCTCAAGTGGTAGAGCACCTGCCTAGCAAGCATGAGGTCCTGAGTTAAAACCCAAGTGCTACCAAAAAAAAAAAAAAAAAAGTGTTCAGAAACCACTTTTTTCAGGAAACTAGGTTATTACTTGTGGTAGGCAAAATAAAACAAATGCCCACCCCTAGTCCCTAGAACCTGTGAACCACATCGTATTTCAGGGCAAGAGAGAATGAAGGCTGCAGGCAGAATTAAGGCTGCTAGTCACCTGACCTTAAAATAGGGAGGCCCATAAAGGAAATGCAAATTAAAACCACACTAAGATTCTACCTCACCCCTGTTAGAATAGCCATTATTAGCAACACCACAACAGGCGAGAATGGG